GTGAGAAACAATGAGGGATTTTCAGCCCCCTGAGTGCCAAAAATTCTTACTCCCGGTTCTTTCCCAAGCCCTGGATTGTTCCCTCTCATGAACAGATCGGTATACAACCAAAAGTGTGGGTGGAATCCTCTGTAGAGCCTCAGAATCCCTATTTCTTTATGAGCATGCAGCTCTCCCTTCTTTGATCTCTGCTCCACAAAGTCTTAACCATCTTGACCTAACCTCGAATCTAGCTCCTCAGCTCAGAAAGAGTCCTGAGTCCCCTCAGGGACTTCCCTGCTTAGATCCCCCTTCTGTACTCAGTCTGAAAGCTTCTTCACCACAGCCTAGGGGAATACCCTGGGCTCGTTGTGTTTCCTTTATTTCTTTTTTAGCAGTACTGGAGTTTGAACTCAGAGCCTTGTGATTGCTAGGCAGACGCTCTACCACTTGGGCCGTACCCAGCCTCTTTGTTCCCTTTCTAAGGACAGCAGTCCTCCACTGCTTGTTGTCCAGTGTCTAAAAACCATTGAGTGTATGTCCTGCTGGGTTTCCTAGTTATGTGAAGCAGGAGAGCAATTCCCATAGCAATTCATCTTTCCTGGACAGATTTGGAGTACCTGCTACTGGTGTGTTTGTTAATTCACAGGACCACAAATAACCCTAAGTCCACTAGTCAAACCTGGCCCAAAGCAGGGCTTGCTCCTGCAGTATTGCCTAGAGATGAATGTCTACCTTGCTGGGTAATTCCAGGGTATAACACACTGCTTTAATTATTAGTAAATTTTAAAAACTTGAATCAGAATGTGCTTCTCAAATTTTAGACTAACTGGTCCCAGTTCTGCCCTTTTGCATAGTTAAAATAATGAGTCTAATTCTTTATTCTCTCTCAAATAAATGTTAGGGGACAGCTGACATGTCACTTGTAGTGTCCTCTTTTCTGATTTAAACATTCCAGTTACTAGGCTGGTAGAGTGGCTCAAGTATTAGAATGCCTGCCTAGCAAGCACAAGGCCCTGAGTTCAAACCTCAGTACCACAGGGGAAAAAAATTCCAGTTATTGAAATCATTCCCTATGCATCCCTCCTAGTTAACCTTTAGAGTCCTTCATGCCCACTTCTGTCATCAACATCTGTCTAAATGTGACACTGGAATTCTACAGAGGGTTCTAAGCATACTCTGACTAAATGAGAAGGGTCAATGACCTTCCACAATCCAAATCCCATATTTCTGCTAATATAGCTCATAAACAAACTAGCTCTTTGCAGCATGTGGTTTTTCTAGCTCATACTGAACTTACCAACTAAACCCATTGGCCTTTCCAGTTACCGTATCTGGCTGGGCTGACATGACCAGGGCTTTAATTATAGGATTTCATATTTATCTGTTAATGTGACCCTTTTGTTTCAGTACACCCTTGCAGCCTCTTTTGAATGCTGCTTTTGCTTCTACTAATGGTAGGTCAATAGTATCATCTTCGTATTTGAAAAGCAAGACATTACTTAATTCACCTCCTCAGCAAATGTATTTCAAGCACTCACAGTGTGTTTGGGATTAACTTTAGGGCAGTGCAGGATACAGAGACATTTAAGCCACAGGGCAGTACAGGATACAGAGACATTTAAGCCACAGGCCCTGCTGTCAAGAGTCCTATATTCTGGTGGGGAACATAAGACATTTGTGCATGATTAGGAGCTAGAACATGCCAAGTGCCATCAGAGTCCTACAGATAACTTCTCAGGCTGGGAGATTAAGGCAGGCAGCTGGGATGTCTTCGGGGTGGGCAAGATTTATGCCAGCCTTCGAGGATGGGCAGGATGTAGATAAGTATTCGAAGGGCCTTTAAGCAGAGGGAGAAGAATGTATGAATGAATCAAATTAAACAGGATCTGGATCACTGTGGCCTTCTCTTTTTGGTGGCGGTACTGGTGTTTGAATTTAAGGCTTTGCCCTTGTGTGGCAGACACTCTGCTGCTTGAGCATCACGGTCTTCTTTGAAACAAATCTGTCATCTCTGATAAACAAGTCCAAACCAGATGAGTGTATCTCAGCCTGAACACTTTGGTATTTGGGGCCAGATAATCCCATGTTGTGGGCTCCCTGTGCATCACTCAGCAGCACCCCTACCCTTATCCTTTAATGGTCTAACTGAAGATGCCAGGAGCACTGCCCAGCTCTGACATCCAGAAATACCCTCCAAATATTGCTGAATCTCCCCTTGTTAACAGCCCCTGACCTAAAGTGTTGATTTGCAGTCTTATTCTGGAACTCTACACTCCCTCTTGGCTTCAGAAACCTCAAGTGATGAATCTTTCCATTCTTTTTAGGTTAAGTCTTTTGAGAAGGAAAGGCAAACAGAGAAGCGTGTGCTGGAGTCCGATCTTGTGGACCACGTTTTACAGAAACTGAGAACTAAAGTCAGTGATGAAAGGAATATCAGGTAATTTGTTCAACAAAAGCCCAGGAGACTGGCTGGCTATAATTGCTTACACAGACCCTACATAAATGTTTTAAAAGTTAATTTGATTCTTTGGGGAAATCAAGACAAGTCAGGATTAGTTTATATAAGCCATTCTGGTGCTTCTGAATAATTCAGTCAGCAGTATAGTTATGACGCTTGGTTAAGAGTGGTCTTATCTTGCTGTCAGCAAGTTTTTCATAACTGTTAATCGTCTGTTTTGCCTTGCTATAACAATATGCCCAAGGATGAGTACTTCATAAAGAAAGGGGGTGATTTAGCTCAGTTTGGGAAGCTGAAAATCCACAATTGGACAGCCTCATCTATTCAGCCTCGGTGAAGGCCCCCTTGGCTATGCCACAATACAGCAGAGAAGTGAAAAGGGAAACAGCCACAGGCAGAAGGTGACATGGAGTGGCCTCATTTATAATCAGCTCTCTGGTGAACTTGTGAGAACTCACTTACTCTGTGAGGCCATGCCTCCATGACCTATTATTGCCTGATAGGCTCACCTCTTAAAGGGCTACAGGCATGATTCAGCTGGCAGAGTGCTCACCTAACAAGTGCAAGGCCCTAAGTTCAGACCCCGGGACCACAAAAAAAGAAGAAAGTTCCATTATCAACACTGCCACTCTGGGAACCAAGCTTCTATCACATGACCTTCAGATGACACACTCAAACTACATCCAAACCATAGTAAAATTTTCAAGATTTTTTTTATTACTTTGAAAGACCTAAGGAGCCAAAACCTATGTGTCTTTATTTTGTTCAGCCTGTTAATCATTGAATTTCAGTAGCATTTTGTCCATGTATAGAGTTCATATACTCATGATGGCAGATAAATTGTGTATATGAATTTAGAAAAGTCAGGAAAAGGCATTAAAACCAAAAAAATTTTTAATTGATACAGCAGTTCCACTTCAGGAATTTATTCTAAACATTTCTTTTCTTTTTTTGGTGGGGGGCAGTACTGGGATTTGAGCTCAGGGCCTCACACTTGGCTAGGCAGGCGCTCTACCACTTGAGCCCCTCCTCCAGCCCTACAGTAAACATTTGTTCACTGGGTGTGGATAGCGTTGTCTACCAAGACGTAACTTGTAACAGCAGTTCCGAGACTCTTTGATCTCAGAGCCCCTCTATACTCTTGGGTAATTATTTGAGGACCCTAAAGAACTTTTGTTTATGTGGACTAAATATCAATATTTTCTGTGCTAAGCCAGGTGTGCCTGTAATCTCAGCACTCAGGAGGCCAAGGCAAAAGGATCTTGAGTTCAAAGCCAGCCTGGGCCACACATTGAGACTTTGTCATAAAGAAATAAATCATTCTGTATTAGAAATTGAATCCTAAACACTTTTAAAATACTTATTCATTTTTAAATAACAGTAACAACCCAATACATGCTAACCTAAATAACGTATTTTTAATAGCAAATAACTGTATTTTCCAAGACAAAATAAATTTAGTAAAAAAAGTGGCCACTTTTCACATTTGCAAATCTCTAAGACACTTTACATCTTTTGTAATCTTTTTAAAGCTTTTATTTGGGGGTGGGAAGCAGTGCTGAGGCCTCACACTTGTTGTCAAGCACCCCCGCCCCTTTCAAGCTTCGACAAAAGGAATGTTTCCCTTCCAGCTTCTGCATTCAGTCTGTTGTAGTATCACACATCGGGTGGTCTGGGAGACTCTACTGCACATTGGTACGAGGATGAGAGTGAAAAGACAGCTAACATTTAGGATTGCTATGAAAATAGCTTTGACCTTGCAGACCACTGGAAAGGATCTGAGGACCACACTTTTTAAGACAGGATGTAGTCTTGAGCTCTTGATCCTCTGCTTCAGCCTCCCAAGTGCTAGGATTACAGTTATGTACCACCTCGACTGGCCTGAGAATCTCTCCTTTACAGTACCAAAATATGCACTGGTAGAAGGCTAGACTGTGGAAAAACACAACAGAATACTGTGCAGCCTTTAAAATGGTGATTCTAGTAAAAAAAGGGGAAAAAATGGTGACTCTAGGGGCTGGAGTTGGGGCTCAAGTGCCTAGCAAAAATAAAGCCCTGAGTTTAAACTCCAGTACAATCAAAATAATAACAGTAGTAATAATAAATCATGACTCCAGTAAAGCTGAGTTTATTGACACAGAAGGATGGCTAACAAATAGGATGGACAGTATAATCCCATTTTCCTTTTAACCAAAATATATAATCTACAATAATAAAAATTTAATACACAACAGTATTTAGAAAAATACCTGAGAGAATGAACCAAATGCTTAATTAATTGTAGTTATTTCTGGTTAGTGGAATTACAAGGTACACTTTTGTTATGTATTTACAACACTTGTACAAATGCTCAATGAACAGAAAATACAACTCCCTAGCCTTTTTTGGCTTATATCAGTAATTCTCAGCCAGTAGCAGTTTTGTCCCCAGCGGACATAACAGCAATGTTTTGAGACATTTTTGGCTGTTACAACTTGGGGGTGTTATTGGTATCTAGTAGAGGCCAGGGATGCTACTATAATCTCCTACAGGTCACAGGTCTGTCCCCTGAACCCCCAGTAAATAATTATCTGACCCAAAGTATCAACAGTACCAACTTAGAGAAAAATCCCAGCTTATAGGCAATGAGCCTTCTTGTTTTCCTCTTCCTCCCATGCCCCCACCGAGCTTTGACAAACTCACCATCAGACTTTTCTGAGGGAAGTAATGTTCTTGAAGGTACCAGGTATTAGAGTTACAGATCCAAATCAAAGACTGAGGTTTGGAAAATAAAACAAGAAATAGCCAACTCTGAGTTCGGGTGAGCGTTCTTAAAACACTTGGAAAGCTAGGCGGGATTTAGTCTTTGTAGGGAAAGGCTCAAAATCTCTTCTCCGTGCAAATGATTATTTCCCTGTTTTCCCAAGATAGAGTGCTATTATGTCTCAAAAAATCAATTCACAGCATTTGAAAGAACACCAGTTCACAGTTTTGTTTTTTTTTTTTTTTTTTTTTGAAAGAATATCCTTATTTTCCAACGGTCTGTAGGCAGTTGCCATAACAAAGGCACAGCATGCTTGCTAATGTTCGCCATGTTAAGAGGGGAGCAGAAAGAACACTCATTACATTGCACTGAAAAAATACACAAGAATATGTGGAGCCCGGATTTCAAACCCAGCTGAATAAATCTTGAAATTATATGCATTTTTTTGTTGACCAACAGCATAAGTAAATGCATTTTTGTTGCGAATTTTTGTTATTCTTCCCACTATTATCAACAGGAATTTTTTTTATTCAATTGAAAAATGGCTCACATATGCTACTCACTGGGAGTTATCTGAGTTGCTTTTGCCATATTGACTGTTTCCTGTTTTTGTTTGCTTGTTTTTAGAGACGCTTCCGATAATCTTGCAGTACAAAATCAGAAGGGGTCATTTTCTAATGCTTCAGGTATAATTACTAATTATAATCTGAACATAACTGATTGTGTTACAAACTGCTGTTTGCTCAAGACACTAATGACTGTGGCTGTCTCCTTGTGACACTGGAAATAGCTTTTTAAAGTAACTTGTAAACAACAAATTGTACTATATGAAACCCTTGACTGGGATTTAGGTGACTTCTGATCTTGGTCTTACTATCTTATTTTTATCTAATCTTCTTTGACTCAGTTTACTATCTAGATGAAATACGGAATAATTTTTCCACAAACTTTCCCCATATAGAGGACTGAAGAAAAGTATTTGAACCCAGGTGTGTGGTCCACACTCATAATCCCAGCACTCGGGAAGCTGAGGCAAGAGGATTGTGAGTTTGAGGCTAGCCTGGACTATGTAGTGAGACCCTGTCTCAAAAAATAAAAATAAAAATGAGTAATAATAAGAAAACAGGCCAAGAAATGATCTAGCTCTTAGAATCAGACAAGCTATCATGATTAGTAACTACTAATAAACTGCTATCTCTTGGTGGTATGTTCTAGAAACTAGCACAGTAAGGCCATAAATTCTGAAACTTCCTTCTCAGGTTTGTTTGAAATCCATGGAGCAACAGTTGTTCCCATTGTGAGTGTGATAGCCCCAGAGAAGCTGTCAGCCAGCACGAGGAGGCGATATGAGACTCAGGTACACCAAGTCAGGGCTTCCTTGCCTTTCTAATGTGAGCTACAAGCAGGAAAAGAAAATAATAAGCATGAATTTCCTGGAAATATTTTTCTTCTCTCTTCCCTAACCTGGTGGCTTTAGAAGATTTCATCAACACAGAGCATCTCTGTAGTACCAGGATTCAGCCCCCTGTCCTCCAGAGAGGCATCAGTATGCATGGAAAAGCAACTGTTGTCAGAACTTTCTCACGCTGGTGGGGTTGGTTTGATTTGGTTCTAAAGAACAAAGCATGACCATTCAGTCACAAGACTGGATGCAAGTTTCATTCCATGCATGGCTTTGGTATCTGCCTGTTGGTAATGCTGAGGGCTGTGTGAAATACAAAAGGCATCAGTCCAGGCCCAGTCCCAAAGTGTACATAACCTTAGGAGCATATACACAATGTAGATAAAAAGAAAGGTGAGCTAAATATATTGTTTTTATTTTTTTGGCAGTACTGGAGTTTGAACTCAGGGTGTATGAACACCACCACTGGCCCTGCAAACTAAATACATCAAATATGAATGTTAGAGGGTGCTGTGGATGTAGGGGAAAGGGTGGGTGTTCAGAGAGCATTGGTACCAAGTACCAGTGGCTCACGTCTATAATCCTAGCCTCTAGGGAGGCAGAGATCAGAAGGATCAGAGCCCAAGCAAAAAAAGTGAGACCCTATCTCAAAATACTCAACACAAAAAAAGGACCAGTGGAGTGGCTCAAGTAGTACAGCACCTGCCTAGCAAGTGTGAAGCTCTCAGTTCAAACCCCAGTACCAAGAAAAAAAAAAAAAGCATTCATGAGCTAAGAGTAGTGGTGTGCATCTGTAGTCCCAGCTGCATCTGTATCCCAGCTGTGAGTGTGGGTGGGGGGTGGGGGGTGGGTGTGTGAAAATGAGAATGAGAATGAATTTGGTTTTTTTACTGTTAACTACACTGAATACAAAAGGCCAGGTACCTAGTCTTCTAAGTTCTTCTGGCTGTTTCTAGGATTTGGGTGGAAACCCACTGTTCCTGTCTTCCTACTGCAGTCATCATCTGCCATATTGAGTCTCCTGTTATTGCTATCACCTTCCCTTTTCCAAATTTCCCTAAAATCTCTGAATCCTAAATCCTCTGCTTCCATGTGTACAATTTCAGTGCACTGAGCACTTTTTATTTTTCCAGATGTGCAGCTGGTTGGAGCTGTGCATGCATCTGCACCCTTAGCATTTCTAGCGTCAGTTACTTGAGCTCTGTGCTTTAATGAGACCTTCACTAAGGAGCTCCAAGAGCTGCTTTGGCCAGGGAACCACAGACCTTCAGTCTCTGAGACCACAGCTGGAGTTCTAAGCTTATCGTTGGAAACTTCCTTACAGAATTTTCTTAAGTACCTTGTTAGATAGTACTAAGTGGGTGAGCTCATCCTCAACTTGATGAGCTCAAGTTTTTTGGCCTTGTCCCAAACTTACTGGATCTTGTCTTTCTTGGTCATAGTTTCTGCATCTGTCTTCTTATCATCCTTGGGCAGTATCAGGAAGCTTGAAGAGCAGCAGTGACACAGCCTCGCTATGTCCTGCACTGATCCTTTCTCAGGCATCATTTCAAAATTTAAAGAAATAAGCAACAAGGATTATTAGACAAATGATCAAAACAGGTTATGTCTTCATTTCTCCTGAGATAATGCCTAGACACCCCCTTTGTGAGGCAGATCAAGAATAAATCTTTAGACAGTTTGGAAGCCTTTCTAGACCTTGCTTGTCACCCTGTGATTAATTTTCTAGAATAGGAAGTAAGATGGTTTGGTTTCACATGTTCTGAATTCCATTTTCTTATTAGGTACAAACCCGACTTCAGACTACACTTGCCAATTTGCATCAGAAAAGCAGTGAAATTGAAATTCTGGCTGTAAGTCACTTTCTTTAACATTTTGAAGATAGCTTTTTCCAGTGTCTGGTTTGACTTGTGTTCAGGCTTTTTTGCTGTCAGCAATATTTGGTGCAGACCTGGTTGTTTCTGATATGAATGAACCACATACAATCTAAACCTGGGGAGAAAACAGAAGGTTGTTTTTCTTTTTTCTTCTCTGAAAGGAGGGTGGGGGAATAAAAACCAAAATCATTTTTCTGCAAGTTTCAAGTCTTTCCTTACTGAACCTATACAAAGAACGTGTAGTAGTGCAGCCCCCACTGCTTGTTAGCTCACCCATGCTGATTTTATCGCACCATTCATGAAGTCTGCTTTATAGCAAAGTAGCATGCTGCCAGCCCTGTTCATACTGTCCATCTAGACAAATCTATAGCCCCAGGTCAATATGTGCTGCTTTGAGTTCTGCAATAGATGTACATTTCTGTGTGTTAACAGGTGGATCTACCCAAAGAAACAATCTTACAGTTTTTATCACTAGAGGTAAGCACTATGAACTGTTCTGCACCGTGGCTTTGCTGTTCATTTGCCAAAGAAAAACAAGAAGTATTAAGTTTTCTGAGAAATACTACTGATCTGGCAGACCACGAATTTAGTAACTTTGGTCTTTTATGTATTCTTTGTATTCTAAAATCAAGGTTACCTAGCTAGCAAGTAGCAGAGCCAGGATTGGAACTTACAGACTAGCAGGATCTATGTTCTAGATTTATTACATCAAAGTTGAACAAAAGTAATTTATCACTTAGACATCAGGTTTCACATGGTTAAAATGCAGGAAGGAAGGCCCAAGTAAAAATGTTTTCTTTCTGGCTGAAGTTTGATGGCAAATAGCAATATCTGCTATCTCTCACATAAACCTTCACCTCAGCTAGGGAAGTTCATTTGTGTATTGGAACTATATACACCTTTTGTTAAAAAATAAAATTAATTTCATCCTTTTTTGTATGGTTTTTAACAGGTACATACTTTTAGCATCAAATAGCCTAAATAAGAACTTTTAAAATTTTGAAGTTTCCTTTGCTAGTAAGAATACTTAATTGTAGCTTCAGGTTATTTTCTGCAACACTGCATATCAAAGAATACTTTTTTGTCTATCCAGGCGTTCAGTCACAGATTAAGTTAGATTAAAAGTGAACTGGCGGGCAAGGTGGTGCACGCCAGTAACCCCAGCACTCGGGAGGTGGAGGCGGAAGGATCACTTTGTTCACGGCCAGTCTGGGCTGCATAGCAAGACCCTGTCTCAAAAAAACAGTTTGCCCCAGAACTATTACTCCATATTCCATTTTCTGTTGCTCTTACTGGCAGTCTACTTTTTTGTGATCCATTTTGCACACAGTAATAAACAGGCAGAAATAACCCATCCAAAGCCATATTAGCACATGGTCAGGCATTAGCAACCAGGGCTGTGCCACAGTTGATCAGGCTCTAATTAGGTACATGTAGTCTTGGCTTACAGATTGATGCTTCAAAGGAGGAACCCCAGCAGTCTCCCACCAGCTCTACCATCTCCCCATCATGGTTGTGATTCTGATGATATACCTGAAGCGGAGAATGGAACTGGCATTTCATTAGTGACTCAGAAAAAGGCCAGGCAAACTCTACTGTCCTGTTAAGTCTTATCTACTTTTTTCTAGTGGATGCTGATGAACAGGCATTTAACACAACTGTGAAGCAGCTGCTGTCACGCCTACCAAAGCAAAGATACCTCAACTAGTTTGTGATGAAATTTATAAACATCAAAGTTGAAAAAAAGTAAGTTATCACTCAGGCATAGCAGGCTTTACATGGCTAAAATTCAGAGGATAAGCCAGACTGAGAAAGACATGTCACGTTTTCAAATGCAGAATCTAGACCAAAAAAGAGTGACATGAGTATAAAATGGAGGACTAATTTGGGAGGGAACCAGGGAAAGGAGGAAGGAGGAGGGTGAAAGGAGAGGGTGATGGGGGCAATTATTTTCAAAGTACTTTGCATGAAAATAAAATTCCTTTTAAACGCAGGGGAGGGAGGGACAAGAAAGAGCAATAGAGGAGTTGCATTCAAAGCACATTATATGCATGTATGCAAACATCACAATAAAACCTCTTTGTACAATTAATACATACTAATTAAAAAAAAAACCTATGTGTACTTCATCTGTACTAAAGAAAAAAAATTCAGGGAGTGGGTTCAGAGTGAAACTTGTTTTATTACCTTGTGGTTTGATGGCTTGTTAGAACTGCAGCTGGCAATCAGTTCATCTTACTAACTGCAAATCAGTCAGTCTTGTGACAAATCACAGCAGGCTGAGTAACTGTTTAATCATAATGTCACGCCAGTAACTACTTCTAGAAGTATGCTTAAGTAAAATAACCATGACAGCTTTGCTGTCATTCCTCATATCAAAATGCCAGTCATTCAGCTATCTCTCCTCTGAGGGCAACAAGGATATAAGAGGTGAATGGGGGGGCTCCTTGTGTAGGACCTTCATTGCAGACCTGACAGACACAGCTTCTGTAAAATCCTAGGTATGTTTTAGTGATTAGACTTCCATCTTATTTCTAATTAACAGAGATCTTACAGTTGTTCTAAAAATATGAACTGTCTTCACTCTCTAAAGTCTGTCATTATAATCTGCCTTTTTCTTTCTTTTGCAGGTGTCTGTGCTATATTCCCTGTATAGCTACAGAGATGACTACTACAGAATCTTATTTTAACCATAAAGAACTCTCATTACATTGTTCAAATGGACAGAGGTTTACTGGAATAATGAATGTTGTACATTCAGTGTCATTTTAAATTAACTTTCAATTCTAAGCTCAACTGCAAATTGAGCTTTGTCAGTTTTCATGTGTAATATATTAATAAATTTATCTTTTTGGATACAATAAATGCTTTCCTATATCTGCTTTTGAATTGCCTATCTATTAACACTAAAGATTTTATGGCGCTAAATCACAATAGCCTTCTTCTTACCTTGGCCCTATGACTAAGTACAAATGAAATGTCCTAGTATTTTTCCCATTGGGAACAAGTCATAAAAAGACCAAATACTTGAGAATCTGTATTTGTTATTGTTTTTAGCATTTTGTTATTGTTTTTGTTTTAGAGGTTTTTTTTTTTCCAGACAGGGTCTCACTAGATAGCCTAAATGGCCTCAAATTCTCAGTCTTCCTGCCTCAGCCTCCCAATGCTGAGATTACAGGTGTGTACACCACACAAGCAGAATCTTCATTCTTGTAAAATAAAGATCTTATAATTTGTTTATCCTAATGTAGTTAAGCAAACTCACATTTGGCTGTAAGAACTGATTCAAACTTGCTTATGGAACTATGATAATAAAAGTATACAACCAGGTAGATGAGCACCAGTGGCTCACACCTGTAATACTAGCTACTCAGGAGGTAGAGATCAGGAGGATAAAGGTTCTAAGCCACCCAGGCAAATAGTTCTGAGAGACCCTATCTTGAAAAAAAACCTTCACAAAAAAAGGCTGGTGGAGTGGCTCAAGATGTAGGCCCTGAGTTCAAACCCCAGTACCACAAAAAAAAAAAAAAAGAAGCTATACAACTAGGTAAGAAAAATGCCTGTGAGATAACATGACTTTATGACTTTCTCTAAAATTTTCAGGTTTCAATTCCAATAATCTAGAAGACAGGGCTAAAACCTATTCATTAATCACATCATTCCAGAAATTGTAGTTATTGCCAGAACTATTTAATGGGGTGAGAAAAGGAGTAAGAGGCAGCCAGTACTGACAGACAGGTTTGATACACTGCTCTTCACAGAGAGGACAATGGAGACTTTTGAACTATAACCCAGGCATACACAACCATGCAGCTCAGATCTAAAACTGACTTCCTACCACAACTACCCTAACATCCCCACCCTTCTTTTCAAAATGATCCTAGTCTCACATGAAAATAGTTAACAGTTATGGGACCAAAAACAGCCTTGAGGCAAAAAGGAAAAACAGCAATTCAGTGGTTAGTTGGTGAAAGGAGAAAATCCGGTGCCCTTCACTGTGCTGTTTTGATCTTCTTATTCTTGTTCTTTTTGTCCCTCTTCTTCAGCCCATCCATATTAGCTCTCAGTAGGTTTGAATAAGCCTGAAAGACACAGGGCATAGCTTAGTGGGAAAGGGCAAATTGGAGGAGTAGCTGCCCTACTTCCACAGTGGACTTAGGGTAGCAGGGGACACTTGTACTGGTAAGTTGTGCCCACATAAAACACATTATAGCAGCTTCTGCAACACTTACCTACAGTGAGTTGCAGGGGGTTTTGTTTGTTTTTTAAAGCAACAAGGGAAAAGTGCAAGTAACTTCTTGTTCGGCATTTTATGTGGGGGCATATCTAAAGTCAAAGACAACAAAATCTAAAAAGACCCAAGTACCACTGGAGGCGGGGGGACAGGAAGATAATATCAGTGTTAGAGATTCCACCTGACAGCTTTACTTTACTTTAAAAACATTGGTAACACTTATCACAGAAGAGCAACAAACGTAAGTGTCAATCTTAAGTCAGTGTTCACTTAATACTGACTCTTCCCCTGAGAGGGAGGGGCATGGAGAACTCACCATCTGAAACTTATTCACTTCTTTGGAGCTCACCTGGAAAAGGAGGGAAAAAGAGGTCACCCCTATTTGTGCATACAGATACCCTCTGCTCCAGGTCGTATCTCGAAAAGCCTCATAAAGACAACAGCCTCTTCTTTAAAATGTTTCTTCCAACTTCAGAAATCTATCTTCCTACTTCTCTTTCCTCTGCCTGAAGAATAACCCAAGTACTCTCTGCCTTTTTCCACGTGAGAACTGCACCAAGACAAGACGGGCACAACTGGGCTCCTCCTGAAGTTACCTTTCTCACCTCTGCTGAAATCCCTTACACAATCCAGGTGTGCACGTGTCTGTGATCCCAGCACTCAGGAAACTGAGGCAGGAGGACAGAGGGTTTGAGGCCAGCCTGGGCTACATAGCAAGACCATGTCTCAAAAAAATAAGGAATAATAAAAACAAGCCCAGCTTACCACAGTGCTGATCTTCTTTTTCCCATCAGTAGCTCTCAACAGACACTTGTTTTCTGCCGGCTCAAGGCCCTCCACAGAACCCTTCCTTGGAATGGGTTTAGTCCGACCATCATCTGCGTGAAAAATAAAACCTGGTGAACATACTCACAGATGTTGCTGACAGGGAGATCAAACAAAAATCACAGCCAAGAATGTAATCCCAGCTACTCAGGAGACAGAGGTAGGGGAATCCCAGTCCCCAGCCGCCCACCAGGCAAAAGCACAAACCCCTCTGGAAGAACTAAAAAAGCAAAAGGAATGGGGGCGTGGCTCAGGCGCTAGGGCTCGGGCCTGGCAAACTCGCCAGTACTTGGAGAAGTGACACAGAGGTGACCAAGACCTCTGAGTTGCTTGGGGCCCCTTGAAACCGGACCTGGGTGACTGTGCTGGGGCCCACGCCAGCCACCATCCCTAACACCCCCGGGATCTACTGCCCGCACGTGCAGGGCGGAGCTTACACTTCTTCAGGTGATGTACACGCTGCCGACAAGCGGCACTTCTGGAAGAGCCTGGTCAGCTCCGTCAAAACTGCAACACAACAGGCCTGCCCGTTAGTCACCGCAAGCCTCGCCTGCCGCGGCGTCCTTGTCCCTCGCGCACTAGAGACAGCAGGTCCGAGCTAAGTCCCAATTGCACCCGTCGCTGGGCCGCCGGAATTTGGTTGTACCTGCTCGCTCTCCAACAGCACCATGTCAACGCTGCGGCTCCGCTCAATCCGCAGAAGCCCTAAACAGTTACAGCCGGAAGTCTCGCCTACGCTGGGAGGGACTTCCGCCGTTAGAGTTGCGAGTCTCCCCGACCTATCACTGTCTCCGCTTCGACCCCGCGCTGAGATGCCCCCGCTTGCAAACGCAATCCCTGCATTTCCACCCCGCCCTTCTCGCGCCTGTCGTCCTGAGAACGCCCCCCCTGGGCTCAGGGGGGAATGACCCGGATGGTGCTTGGGTGTCCTGGTCTTTCAGCCAATACCCAGTTAGTATAAGGGAATGAGAGCAAAAGAAAGATTTGATAGAAACGTGTAGTTGCGTGTATCCAGCTGCATATTGGGTAACTCACCTAACAGTCCATCGCCTCAGTTTCTTCATCCTTAAAATGAGGATGACAACATCTACCTCACTGTGGCTGTAAAGAGTAAATAAATTTATGTAAGACATATGGAACAGCGGTGCTCAATGAGCATTAGCTGTTGTTTTCATTGTCATAAAATGAATTCCCATAGAAAGGGTTGGGGGTGTAGCTAAGTGGAAGGGTCCTTGCCTAGCACGCACAAGGCTCTGGATTTGATCTCCAGAACTGCAGAAAAACAAAAAATAAGACTAAAAACAAAGCAGGTTTCCATGCCTCATGGGAACTCCTCTGACCAGGCTGGGTGGCCCTAAAACGCCAGCTCACAGCTCCAGCAAGAAAAACTAGAGCCTCTCAGCCTTAGTTCTACCTCTGTATTTAGTTAAGAGACCCCAGGTCTAGGTCTTACTCTGCTAGTAGCCAGCTTGAACCCTGGGCATCCAGTAAAGTCCAGCATTCAATCAGCAGGCTTTTGCTGAGGGTCAGACACTGTTTTAAGGGCTGGAGAAACAGCAGTACACAAGACAAGACAAGTTCCTGGTTTCCTGGAACTTGGGTTAAAAGAGTAAGAAAGAAAAAATAAACAACATAAAGTGAAGTAGGTTTAGCTCAGATAACCTAGTGGAGACCACTAAGCAGAATGATACAATGGGAATTACAAGGGAACTATTTTAGATCTAAGTCAAGGGAGTTTCCCTGAAGAGTATTTTGAATTGAAAGACAAAAGGCCCAGTCATCCAAAGATCTGGGGACACAGAGTTTCAGACAAAGGAATTGGCTAGAGAAAAGACCCTAAGGGGAAATCAGTTGACCTGTGTTAGTGGTGGGAGGCTAGGGTGGGGTAAGAGGCCCATGTGGAATCGAGGAGCTGAATGAACGCGAGATCATAATGGCTAACGGGCAATGCCAAGTTTGGATTTTGTCGCCAGGATACAAAGAGAAGAGAGCTGAGAGTGACTCAGTGATAGAGCACTTGTCTGGCATTTGTGAGCCCCTGAATTCAATCCACAACATGGTAAAAAAAATATCATTTTGAGTAACTGGTTGCCATTTACTAACTAGGGAAAACATAATGAAAGGAATAGAGGTCCAGCGGGCCCCAACCCTTGTTGAGAAACCAGTACCAAAACATCCCATGTAGATAAGATAAGCAAGAGGCAGGGCTCAGTTAGGGCATATAGAATGTGAGGAATGCAAGATGTGAGATACGGCAAGATGTGAGTACGAGCAAGATGTGAGTAAGAGCAAGATGTGAAGTACGTGCAGGATGTGCTCTGCCTGCTTGTCCTAATGTTGATAACAAAAATATGCACGCCACTGCAGTCTATATAAGATTTCCCCTAAAGAGGCTCAGGGTCTTGCTTTCCTAACCGGTCCTGCGTGTCCGTGTGGGAGCTCGACCCTGCTAGCCAGTCCAATAAACTCTGCTTTGTTTGATTGCATTCACGCCTGGCTCTCTGTCTCTCGGGAATAGGATTCCGGGTCCTAACATTTGGAGGTCCCACCGAGATTTCATTTTCTCGAGAGACAGAACCTGCCTGCGAGAAAGCAGGGGCGATCCAAGTCCTAGGCGTTGGGAGGGGATCCCAGACCCTCATTTGGAGGAACTTGAGTGTTCCATTTGGGCCGCGGCGGGGATTCGGCCAATCCCCAGGGAGATTCATTCTGGGAATCTCGCAAGGAGGACCACAGGGTCCTATTGGGAGAGGCTTTCCTCTCATTTGGGCTCGAGCATTTTAGGAACCCTGGCGCCAGGTGAAGAACTAATTGAGCTAGTCGACCGACCACCCGTCAAGTGGACGCCTTTCGGCCTGATATCCCAGTTGGACGGTGAGGAGGTTGAATGGGGTGCGCACCAGTGTGAGAGAAGGACCGTCCGAGCGAGTGCTGGAGAGTGTTGTGTGTGTGTGGAATTATTGTTGCCTTTACCCTTTTTGTTCTATCTCTCTTGGTGTTTGAGTCTCCTTCCACAATGGGCAGGGACAAACAACCCCAAAGTCTCTGATCCTTTCTCACTTTCCAGAAGTTAAAGAAAGGGCCTTAAATGCGGGTCTGGTCATCAAGAAAGTAAGTTCGACACCTTTTGTTCTGCAGAGTGGCCCACCTTTGAGTCGGGTGGCCCATTCAAGGTTCCCTCTCCCTAGACCTGATCACTAAGGTTAAAGCAGTCATTTTTCAGCCAGACAATCGAGGCCATCCAGACCAAGTTCTTACATTTTGGTTTGGGAGGATCTGGTGGGAACCTCTCCCCCTTGGTTAACAGTTTTTCTGACCCACCCCTCCAGTTCGGCCCGGGCTAAACCCCAGTCACGCCCGCCTTGGTCATAAAGGAGGAGGAAAAACTTCCTCTTCCCACCTTGACCGGTCCTCAAATTAGGGCATCTCCTTCACCATCTCCGGTCTTACCAGAGAGTTCCCCCTTTACCCATCCCTCGCAGGGCAGAGGAAGATCGCGCCTCCATACTGACTCCCCCTGGCCAAGCCAGTGCCCCGGAGGAGGAAATTCCTCATCCTCCTCAACAGGACTGGCAGCAGGAGGAGGAATGGGTCGAAGACTTCCCCCGAGGGATCCGGGAAAGGGAGGGGGAAGACGGGCCCCCCTCATCAACACAGGGGGAGGAAACTGTCCCTACACTTCCAGTCCGGATGGTGGGCCAAGGGGACCGGGAGAGGGCAACAGTTTCAGTACTGGCCCTTCTCCTCCAGTGATCTATATAACTGGAGGACGCAGAACCCGCCCTTTCTGAAGACCCCAAGTGTCTCATAGATCTCCTGGAGTCCATCATGCATACACACCGCCACTTGGGATGACTGTCATCAGCTGCCTCAATACTCTTTTTACGACGGAGGAACGAGAGCGCATCCTCAACGAAGCGAGGAAGAACGTCCTTGGGGGATAATGGGAGACCCACAACTCTCCAACCGGCCATAGACGAGGCTTTTCCCCTACGCCGCCTGATTGGGATTCGGGACCGCAAAGGTAGGGAGCTCTTCGATCTACGCAGACTCTATGGCCGTCCTCCAGCGGCCCGCTAGAAGGCCACCAATTTTGCAAAAGTAAAAGCACGTCATATCAAGGGGAAAAAACGAAAGCCCAGCCGGTTTCTAGAGCGCTCTATGAGGTAAATACCGTCAGTACACCCGATTGATCCCTGAATGGCGGGAACCTCCACCGGTCTAGACTGTGGGTCATTCTCATTCATTTAATCAGGCAGCCCCAGACATTAGGAGAAAAACTCACTAAACAGGAAAACCTTAGGGGAGATGACATATAGGGAAATGCTACAGGTAGCAGAAAAAGGTTTTT